GGAGATGCATGTCAGTGACACATTGAACGCGACAGTATTGAAGTATCGACCGATCATAGACATACGCTCATCAAGTCTTGCGTTGATGCCTTTCTCAGTGAGGGTTCAATCGGTTCGCTGGGGCACTGGAGAGCTCAAACACACGCCTCTTTCCAAGTCAATGACATACTAGTGGTGGGCCACGAGAGGCTTACCGTCGAGATGCAGCGGCGTAAGCCCACCCCTCCCGTCACTCACTGACCACTCGTCGCGCCCGCTGACGCGGGCTATCGCAGCGCATACGCAAGTACCAGATGCACTATTACATGTACGGCAAGGTCCTCGAGCCGCCGCCTAGCCTCATCGGCGTGGCGTGCCTGCAGGGCGGAGAGCAGACGCCCGAGCTCATGCACAATCTCTCATCCTCATCGTCCATCGTCTCCAACGACCCCACGATCTACTGCATCGGCGAAGGTACGTTCTCCCACCCCATCCCCATGCGGCCTTGCTCCCTCTGCGCTCGTGCTCGTGTCGTACTAACTCATCGGCATCCAGAGACGATGGCGCCCTCATCTGCGCTCCCCATCGGCGCGACGCGCGTCGTGTGCGAGATGCAGTCGCTCGTCCTCGCACTGCATGGGCTCCTCGACTGCATCTGTCCCAGCGTATGACAAAACACCGTCAGGGACTGATCCTACTGGCAGATTGCGACACGGAGCAACAATACGAGCTATTTGAATCTTTGACTGCGACATGGGATTTCTGGAATAATGTTCTTCCTTCCTTCCCTCTCATCTTCCTCCCCTCTCATTATACTACTGTAAGTCCCATGCTGCTATATCTGCACAATGTGCTCCAACGTTCCGATGACTCACATTGAAGATCCTTTGTACTATAGTGCTACGGAGTGCTCAACAGCATCAGTTCTGGTTCTACGTGGCGATTTGCGGTCTTCGGTGTGACCCAGTTTGGTCTTCCTGATTGTCCAAATACTAGCACCAATTTCTTCATAACAGGATGTTTCTGCCGCTTTGCATTCGTCACCGCCCGCCACACGCCTCGTCTGTCAATGATCCATATTTGCATACAGGCATACGTTGTGCCGTTTTTGCTGCCGACATGATGGATGAACAGGTCACCCAATCTCAGCTCCGATCCAGGTTGGATGCGAGTTGGACAAGGGAGCGGATCGACGCCGGCACTGTCATACCAAACCACATATCCATCATGTCCCCGGATTTTGTGACGGCTCGGCCGTAGGAACTAGATGAGCAAGTTTGCGTAAGCTACGCATTCTCTTTTTCAAATTCCAAGATCAGTCACAATGTTCGAAGATCGCACCTGAGAGGTCTGATAGTATGCCGTTTGAACACTTCCGGCCGATGCGCGATCAGAATGTTGGTCCGTTGTGATGGCAGCCTCAGGCTGCCAACGAGTGGTGGACTGAGACTGTGAGTGCCATCTGGTCAATGGAATGGCTGTCTATCAATGCACCGAAACAGGAGCCAACCTGTATATTCAAAGCAGGAGGTTGGGGACCTTCATTACTGCTGAATATGGCTCGGCGTGGCCGGCACTAAAGATTGTATATTAGCCGAACCGACGATCCAGTGCAGAGTCTCAATACTTGCCGGTGCGTGCCAATCGGCAGACGTGAATCGACGTTGTTGCATAGGCTTATTCGTTGATTGTTGTTGTGCCGTGGGCACACTTCGGCTCGCTGGTAGTTCACTATGGGTCGGGCGATGATCAGGACCTGCGGCCGGGAAATGAACGAGCCATTCAGCTGGGTCCAGTATAGGCCCAGCACTGTACTTCGGTGGCATCAGACTCGGGCCAATGTAGGGTCGTGAGGATGTGAGAGTC